AAAGGAGAACCTGCCAAAAATTCTAAGGACAAGCTTTCTTCCACCACCACCTAGCTAGCCATGATGAAAAGGAATGTATAGTATTTGCTCACTCTCCTTGATAAAAGGGTAAAAATATATTGAAAAAACAAACAAACCCATTCAATTTTGCTTTTTTTTAAAAAAAAAAAAAAGTCAGATAATATCAATCATAGCTCATTATTAAGTGGAGTGGGTAGATTGGGGGTGGGTAACCACTCACTAATCCTCGTGTTATCACCTGAAAGAGAAACAGGCATAGGGGAAAAAAGAGTATATTATCTCTGGCGGATGGTAGTATCGGGAATGTCTTCACTGTGAAGCCTATTTCTGAAATCTATCTAAAAAACTGGATAGAGGCAGAGAGTATAATTTCCACAAAGCAGGGGATACAAAAAGCTGTAGATCTCAGGACACTAGAGCACAAGGATCCTCATTAAAATTCCAAAGTCTGAATGAGTACTAGAGGAAGCATGGCACCTCTTCAAATGTCAGCAAAGTGTATATTCTTTATCTGCTTTGATCAAAACAGGTTAAAAAATAAATAAACAATAACAACAACAACAACAAAAAAAAACCCCAAGCAGACAAGCTTCAATGGCCAGTCTCTGCCTGGAGCAAAGATCCTGACCTGGGAAATCCCTTCTCTGGCAGTCCTCTGGGAGACTGCCTTGCAGAAGGGCCCTCCACCACTTCTCCCTAACTGAGGAGTCTAGGAAAGAACCCATACAAATCAGCAACAAAGACAGAATTATCAGTGATAAAATGTCAATGTAATCTTAAAATGAAATGCTTAAGAAAAACAAACTATAAAAATTATTGTGACCAGCAAAAGTATCTTACATACACTATAGAATCGTCTTATGCAGAATACTTTAACAGGGTTAATTTTTAGTTTCTAAAGATCTCAAATTCCTTTCATGGTAGATAAAGCCATTAAATCAACAAATGTTTATTGAGCAACTACCATGTGCCAGATTATATTCTAAAATATAGACCTTGAAATATATCAGTGAATATCTCTAGTGGAAAGAGATGAACAATAAACAAAAACATTTTTTAATTCTATGCAATTTTTTAAGGATACTGGCACTCCACCTTAAGATATAATTTATAGCTGGAGTCACTTTGTGTTTACTCTCACTTTCAGCTGTGCAGACAGCTGGGAGTACCTTGTAGGGCACCAGTTTATTAATATAAATGGAACACTTACTCTATGATTGTTTAACTTGTTCTTCAATGACTTAATAGTTGAGTAATATGTCTTCCAAAGTGGTTTTCAGGTGGTTAGGAATATAATTTTGTAACCAACAAGGTTCTGCAAGCAGCTACTTTGCTCAAATAAGATATTTCATGTGAACAGAAGACTGTAAGAATGTATAATCCAATTTCATTTTTTTTTAACACTTCAATTAGCCTCCTCCCCGAAAACATACTGAGGAAAGGCCATTTGAGGTCCCCTGCAAAATCCTTTCCACCCCAATTTATTTTCTCTACTTTCCCTGAGACCTATAAGAAGAGTTCCTGTAACATTGGCCCTGACTGGTGAAGGTATGCTTCCTTGCATCTTCAATTTTCGGACATACCCTGACTCCAACATTTTGTTTACAGCCAACTGTCAGGAAATGTTGTGCTTCTCCTGAGAACATTTTACATTTTGTTGTTATTGTTGTTGTTTTTATAGCTGATTAGGCACAGAGCTGATTCTTTTTTGTATTTAGGCCCCAAGAAGCATTTAAGGGCCTGGCTCAACTTTCATGATATAAAGCATATCACTTTATGAGTATTTTCATCCTCCAAGAAATGATCTGAAAAGCTTCTACTCTCTCCTTGGTCTTCTTATGGTACTTTGTAGATTGTAAAGTTATTGGTCCTTTTGTTGTTGTCTTCTTTTGTAGTTATTAAAAGAGACTTTGTACATATTCTAGGTTAAAGGAATCAAGTTTCTTGGACTGGTTTCAACATCTTCTTGCTTCATTAAAAAAAAAAAAAAAAAGTTAATTTGTATGTTCAGCTAGATATCATCAACTCAACCAGAAAAATGTCTCAGGTTTAAAGATTTTTCCTGAAATGATGTTGATTAAAAATATTTAAGATCAAAGCCTCCTTTAATTTATTGATGAACTGCTTTCACAGCTAAACTGCATGAAGATCAAGGCTTATTAATATAAACTGGACCCTTAGAGGTGGCAGAGACAAATCCAATAAGTGTAATACTGAAACTAATTTTCCATTACTGAGTTATTAGTTACAATACAGCAATTAAATAACTTAAAACTTAAGTCAGGATGCATCTCAACAATGCAGTGATTTGGAGGTGGTAACTATTTTTCTCCCCATTTTACAGTTCGGGAAACCAGATGACCATAAACAATTTACCAATGCCATACAAGGCAGTAAGTTGGGGGGTGGGGGGGGGTCCAGAACCCACATTTGCTTGATTCAAAGTCTACTCTACATTGCCTCCCCAAGATGTTTATGCTTGTTTCCCTCATTAAATGAGGTTTTTAAGAAAAATAAATCTGACATTTAATCAACACATGAATTATGCAATAAACAAGCAGCAAGAAGGAATTGAAAGGTGCCCAAACCAAGCAACGTCAAAGTTTATGTTTCTATATAGCCACTCTTTTATCCAACAGTCCTAAACCATTAGTTGAAATGCAACACCTGACACAAAAGCGTAGCAAGCATGGATATTTGGTTTCCATTGCCCAGATTAGAAATAGCACTACACAATTAACCACAATATCCAGAAATGACAGGTGTACAACCAAAATAGGGAGAAGGGGCAAATAACAGTGACTTGTGGTAGAACAAGTCTAAGTCCTTCACTAAACTAAGACATAGTTTTTAGGATTGAAATTCTTAGAATATTCCAACTTTGTGATCCTGAGCCCATCACACCCTTTCTGAGCTTCAGCATCCTGATCTGTAATGATTCAGGATAATCCCAGCAGTACTCCCCACCTCACAGGGTTGCTCTGCTGTTAAGATCAAAAGACTTCCTATGAAAGGATACTGTATGAAAGGACCACATTAATGAAAGGGGTTATTAAAAAGTGGGTTTGGTGCTTAAAGGGATAATCCCACAGCCTTTATAACTATTTTTTCCAAAGGTTCGGGAAACTGAGGTTTTACTGTTTTTATTCTTTAAAAACATTTATAATTATAGTGATCTAGCCTCAGTCTGTGCATTTCTTAGGGGTCTGCTCAGTAAGAAGTAGAAGGGCAGAAGCTGTTACCTTAGTCAGCAAAAAGAAGACTCATTTGGATATTAATATCCAAGAAGTCAGTCATCTGAAGGACAGCCAAAGTTATCAGTACCTTATTTACAATACAAAGGTAAAGAGGCTTAACTGCTCCCAGTTGGAAAATCACCAGAGGAATTAAAATTAGTGTATACATGGAGTGAGGGGATTGCATCCAACACTTTAGACATGCTGATTCCCTCAAAGGTTTCCTAAAGTTGGTTTGTAAACTTTGTTGCTAAGTATTGAACCTTCCTACCAAAGTTTTCAGCTGATGAGGTGATGAGGTTAGTACTCAATCATAAAAGAACCACTCACAAAACAGTTTAGAAAAAAATGTTTTCTAACATGGGCAACATATTTGAAAAGGTAAAACAACTAAAGAATTCAACTTTATATACACGGGACTCAAAAATCAACTCCTTGTTCCAAAGATTGTTCAAAATCTATTGGCTGATTAGAATGCGGGAGAGAAGATTCACAATTCTTGCTTGGGTTTGACAACGGTGCGCTTCGTTACCTCTTTGTAATTCACACCGCGGACACCGGCAGCCCTGGGATGTTACAGCTCTGCCAACGCCAGAGTATTCTACCAGCGGTGGGACGGTGCGGTGGCAATCCTGACATGCCTGGGCTCCCGGGAGGTTAATGGGAATTAAACCACAGCAGCCCTCCTTTGTGGCGCTTTGGCCGGAACAGCAGAAAGAAGACAATGAGCGGTCTGTGCGCAGTTCCACGCCGATTGGCTAGTCTCTCCCCCCAGAAACCCCTTATGTCATGGGCTTGGAATGCAGGCAGGGAGGAAGGAAGGAGAGGATTTGGGGAGGGGGACGCCTCTCATCTCTTTCCCAGGCCAAAAGTCCCAAAGATAAACCCGACGCATTCTTAGGCTCAGAGGCAAAGCTGAGTGTCACCAAATCTCAGACACTTCAAACTATAACCCGTTTCAGCAAATAAACCCTTCACAAAAGCAACCCACAAATATACTCTTTGATATCTTCGACAGTCTCTGGTACTACAAACTTCTCGGGGTTTTACAAAAAGTCTCAAGTCTACAGCAGATACCACTCCCAAAGCAGCGCTCTCAAGGCTTTGTCTCGGTTTTCTGCAGAAGAAATAATTTGCCCCAAGGTATATGGATCGGCTCCCGATCTTCTGAGGGGCCCAGGGGTCTACGCTAAGCTTAGGTCTCCCGCCCCAGGAGATGGCGAGGAACAATGAGGGGCCCCCTTTGGCCACGTAACCGGCCTAACTTCGCTCAAGGCACAATTCGGTGGGGAAGGAGGGGGTCGAGGTGGGAGGAGGCACAGGGTCCGAGCGGACGGTGGGGGAGCCAGCGGCTGCAAGCTGGGTCCCAGGAGCGCGGACAGGCCCCGCCTAAGAGCGAATGACCACGCAGGAGCGCCCTCTTCCCAAAGGGGCGCAACCTACAGCCACCGAACAGCCCCCGCAGCCAGAGAGGCCGGCGCTGCGGGGTTCCAGACACCCGGGAGCCCACAGCCCTCCGCTAGTCCCGGCCCTCGGCGCAGGAACAAAGCCAGGAGAGAGCCCGGGAGCCAGCGCCTGGGGACAGGACGCGACGGGAACCCGAAGCAACTCTCAGGCCGCCTTGACGTCCCCTCTCACGAAGCCAGAGGGCCAAGGCACTCCGGGCGACTCACGGCCCAGCGTCGTCCCCAATTGGTGGGGTGCCCCGGGCAGGGTCTCACCACCCACCCGTCCCGGGCATACCTTGTTCTTAACCTCGGCCGAAAGCCCGTAGGAAGGGCCCTTGTTGAAGTGGGTCATGGTGATTCGGATGGCGGGAAGAGGCTGCGTCGGGGTTCGGAAGTCTCTCGCACTCGGCTTCCCCGCTCTTGGCCCGGAGAAGTGGCCGCGAGAGAGATGCTCAGATCTCGCTCCTTTGGGCCGCGAAGAAGGCGCCCGGACTCGACGGTGGGGCGCGGGCGGTGCCTCTCAGACTCGGTCGGGCTGGAGCCTCCGGGTGCGCTTCAGAGTCGCACTGGCCGCCTCTCGCTGCCGGCACCGCAGCTCCGCACGCACTGCCCCCAGCCTGCTCCCCGCGGGCTCTCGGGGATTGGCTCGCGAGCCCGACCAATGGAGGGCCGCCTCCTCCCGCCTCTCCCGCGAGGGGGCGGTGCGGCCAGTTGAAGGGCAGCGGGCGCCGTCCTCCCTCCCCGCGCGGGGCCCGGGCCCCCGCCCCAGCCCCAGCCCCAGCCCCAGCCCCAGCCCCAGCCCTCACGCCACCGAGGCCCGCGACGAAGCGGCTCCTCCTCCTGGCCCGGCCCCGCGGGCTGGAAGCGGACGCTCCTCCGCCCCCGCGCTTGGCGCCTGGGGCTTCCGAGCCGCGGTGGTTCACAGCAACTTTCAGGCTTCCGCTGCTGTGTTGGGGGGGCCTCGGAGCTCAGACGTAACCCACCCCGAATGGCCCGAGGCTGACCGCCATCCCTGTCTGCGTCCTCTCGGGATCCCAGCAGCCCAGATGGAAGAAGGCAGGGTCCCTCCGCAAACACCAAGAACAACCTCGGAACCCAGATGCCAGAAAAACGGAGGCCCTCCACTGAGGGCTTGTTCCTTCCTCACCTGGCCGCCTCCCACACCTGTTGGTCTGGCTTCAGAAATGGTCAAGGTTCTTGGCCAAATTTAAGCTGGAAAATGTGCAAAACCTGGGGCTTTTCAGGTCCTTGACATCAGGGGACCTCTTTGAATCAGGAGTTGATTGTATGGGAACAGATGTTCTTTAATTCAAAGGAGCGCCTCCTTTTTTTTCCCCCCTACCCTCCCTTTCTTCTGATCCGGAACTCATTTGATAGATGAGGAAGGGAACAGAACACTCAACTCTGGCTTGTGGGCATGGCACTGTATTACACTATATGTCTGCTGAAGATTATCCAATTAACTTGCCCCAAAGTACTATTAGGTGGTCTTCGTACCCGTTTTAGAGGTGAGAAAGCTGAAACTCAGAGACCCCCAAGTATCCAGGTCAAATTCTACCACCTCCAAAACTTCACTCACTTCTTGCCATTGCTTTTTTGTGCACACCTAGGGCTGGTTTCATTTCTCTGAATCCTAGGGTGAGAGCTTTGTTTGCCAAATTCCAGCTGACGTGACAAAAGAGATCACCGTACCAGGTGTGGCAACCTGCTTGAAAACAGGAACCCAAATATCTCGCCATAGTTAAGCCATCCTGGAATAGAAATGAATAAGGCAGATTGAAAAGGAAATGTACAACACTGCTAATTAACTTTGTAAGAGTTTTCCAATGACTTTGGGAGACAGAACTTGAGGGAAGAGGGAGGAAGCAAATAAAGAGAAAAGTGAAATGCTTTATAAATGATTGGCTAATTGAGTCCGGAGGTAGTAAGCATAATTAGGGCATTCTTTCCACACAAAGATATCACAATTGACCCACTATTTGTGGGGCAAGCAGTTTGGGCTGTTTTTCCAGTAGTGTGACAGTGGCGATGTGTCATTCATAAAACCTCACCCACTTTTCTTCAATACCAGTGTGTGTGAGAAATGGCAGAATCCAAATTCTGATCACAGTCCCCAACCTGTAAAGCTTCCTGCAGCAAAGTAAGTCTGACACCTTCTGTTCCACCACAACAGAGATGGAAAGCACTGTCAAAATCATTGTAATCTACTTAAAAAGTTATTCCTTACAGTATGTTCAAGAACTGTATTCTGGCTTGAAAAACACAAATTTTGTTTAACAGGAGTTATCATTTAAGAAATAGAGTTTCAGGGGCTGGGGTTGTGGCTCAGCCGTAAAGCGCTCACCTAGCATGCGCGAGGCCCTGGTTCGAACCTCAACACCACATAAAAATAAATAAACAAAATAAACGTATTGTGTACAACTAAAATAAAAATATTTTTAAAAAAGAAATAGAATTTCAGGTGGAGATGATGAAAAAGTTCTGAAGATGGACATTGGCAGTGGTTACACAATGTGCTTAATGCTGCTATACACTTTAATAGGAACATTAATATTTGCTACATTTATTTGGTCAATTATTATCCTCCCCAAGGTACTTAAAGTACTTTCTGACATTAGTATTGAAACGTATTTATTGTTGGCCCTATTGGATTCCACTAATGGTCTTGAGGCTTCCTTCTTCTAGTTTACCTCATTGCATAGGAAAAAGTAATGCTATGTTTAAGATAAAATGAGAAAGGATTTTAAAACTGGGGACAATTGCTAAGAGCCTTATTGAGATATAATTGATATATAATTATCAAAAACTACATATTGAAACTGCATAATTTGATACACAAATACATATACACACCTGCAAAACCCATTATACAATCAATGGACATACCATTTACCCAAAAGTTTCCCCATGTAACCCTTTCCTTTTGCCCCTCCTTGCAACCACGCCTCACTAAGCAATCATTGACATGTTTTATGTTCCTATACATAATACCATAGAGTTTTACATAAATGGAATCATTCGTTGTATACTCTTCCCTATCTGGCTTCTTTCACTAACAAAATTATCTTGAAATTCACACGAGTTGTAGCATGTATTATTGGTTAATTTGTTTTCATTACTCAGTAGTATTCTATCATAGGGATATACAACAGTGTGTTTATTCATTCCTTTGTTGATGAACATTTTGATATTTACATGTTGGGGCTATTATAGATACATGTGCCTTGACTTATGATGGGGTTCTATCCCAATAAACCCTGGGGCTTCCTAGACGTGGTGGTTCACATCAACTTTCAGGCTTCCGCTGCTGTGCTCGGGGCCCTCAGAGCTCATGATAAGTTGAAAATATCATAAATTGAAAAGGGTTTTGATGCACCTACTGAACACCCCGGTTTAATAACAGTACAGTGTAGAACATCTATCAGTTGCTTACCCTGGGAATCATGTGGCTGACTAGGAGCTGTGGCTCACTGATGCTGCTCAGCATCAGGAAAGTATATCACACTGCGTATGACTTTCCCAGGAAAAGGTCAAAATTCAAAATCTGAATGTACTGTTTTTACAGTACATATCACCACCATAAAGTTAGAAAGTCATTAGAGCAAACCGTTGTAGGTCAGAAATCATCTGTAAAGCCACTGTAAACATTCATAGGCAAGATATTGTATGAACATATACTTTCATTTCTCTTGGATAAATAGCTATAAGAGAAATGACTGGACCATGTGAGAAGCATATATTTAACTTTTTAAGAAATGCTTATCTTTTCAAAATTGTTGTACCATTTTATACTCCCACCAGCAAGTAGGAATCCAAGGTCCTGTACGTCTTATCCTAGTCAATACCAGGCATGGTCAGTCTTTTTAAATTTAGTCATTGTAATAGATGGAGAGTGGTATCTCATTATTGTTTTAATTTATATTTCTCTAATAAATAATGATGTTGAACATCTTTTCATGGGCTAATTTGCTGTTTTCTCATGAAATGTTTAAGTCTTTTGCCCATTTTTATTGGGATGGGTGTTTTCTTAATATAGTACATATCTTTTATCTTATCACTGTCGAGACAAATATATGAAATCCTGACCAAATTCTAACAATACAGTGTTATGAGTAAAATAATACCAGCATGTGGCAAAATAATCTTAAGTATTTTCATGGGAAGTTTCCTTAATATGTTGAATACTTCAGATTGAAATAAATGCTCTTAAATAAATCAACTCTTCCAAATTCCCATTAATTAAATGCAAGTATTGGAGAATTGTGAGAAAGTATTCTGTCACAGATACAAATCTGTGGATGATATTTTCATATCCCTTGCCACCAGGATAATAGTAACAAATGTTTGGTTGATTACACTGTGTCTTAACAAAAATACCCGAGACCAAGTAATTTATGAAGAATAGAGACTTCTTTATTTCACAGCTCAGGAGGCTGGGAAGTCCAACAGTACAGTGTCAGACTCATGCTGCCAGCAGCATCAGTACATGGCAGAGGGAACCACATTGCCAGACAGAATGTGTCCACTCAGGTCTCTAATCTTCTTCTTATAAAGCCACTAATGTCACCACAGGGTCCCCCGCCTCGTGACTTTCTCTAATCCTAACTAATTTTCTCCCAAAGGCCCTACCTCCAAATACCATCAAGATATAAATTTATTTCCAATACATGAACTTTTTTTTTTTTTTAACCAGGGATTGAAACCACAGGTACTTAACCACTGAGCCACATCTCCAGCCCTTTTTTAATATTTTATTTAGAGACAGGATCTCACTGTGTTGCTTAGGGCCACACTAAGTTGCTGAGGCTGAACTTATGATCCTCCTGCCTCAGTCTCCTGAGCCACTGGGATTACAGGCATGTGCCACCACACCCAGCATACATGAAATTTTGAGGAACACGTTCAAACTATAACAGCAAGTAAATCCACAATGTCCAAGAATTACAAAGACCTAGAAATTGATCAGCTTTAACAAAGGCAGAGGAGAGCTTAGAAAGTTCAGAGACCAAGAGACTTTTAAGTACCTGCTGTGTACTAAGCATTATGGGTGGTGAGATTATCACCCAAACAGAGACATGGAGACACTTTTCAAAAAAAATTTTTTTTAGTTGTTGATGGACCTTTATTTCTTATTTATTCATACATATGCAGTCTGAGAATCGAACCCAGTGCATCACGCATTCTAGGCAAGTGCTCTATCACTGAGCAATAACCCCAGCCCAACAGAGACACTTTTGAGAGTGAAAGAGGCACTATTTTGTGTGAGCAATAAGCACTGGGGACTCAATCCAGGGATGCTTTACCAATGAACTACATTCCCAGTCCTTTATCATTATTATTATTTGTAATTTTTAAGACCGGGTCTCACTAAATTGCCAAGGCTGGCCTCGAACCTGTGATTCCTCCTGCCTCAGCCTTCTGAATAGCCGAAATTACAGGCATGAGTCAACTCCCCCACCAGGAATAGGTGCTAATGATAATATCATTTTGAGTGCCAGGCAGTTCAAATAAAACCCTATAAGGAGTGCTCACTTTCACCCTCAAAAGTGTCCTTGTTGAAATGATCAAGCACTTAGTCACCCCACTTATAAGCATCACTCATAACAACCCTGTCA